TTAAAAAGTAAATTTGTGGCGTGCACTTCATATCTGAGAGTCAAATAGAATCGTCAAATACTGTGGTTACATCGCACTTTGAAAAATGTAAATTTTTTTGGTGCTAAAAAGTAAATTTGTGGCGTGCACTTCATATCTGAGAGTCAAATAGAGCCATCAAATACTGTGGTTACATCGCACTTTTAAAAATTCACATTTTTTTGGTGCTAAAAAGTAAATTTGGGGCATGCACTTCATATCTGAGAGTCAAATAGGATCGTCAAATACTGTGGTTACATCGCACTTTTAAAAATTCAATTTTTTTGGGTACTAAAAAGTACATTTGTGGCGTGCACTTCATATCTGAGAGTCAAATAGAACCGTCAAATACTGTGGTTACATCGCACTTTGAAAAATTCAAATTTCTTTGGTGCTAAAAAGTAAATTTGGGGCGTGCACTTCATATCTGAGAGTCAAACAGAACGGTCAAATACTGTGGTTACATCGCACTTTGAAAAATTCAAATTTTTTTGGTGCTAAATAGTACATTTGCTGCCTGCGTTGCACTTCATATCTGAGAGTCAAATAGAACCGTCAAATACTGTGGTTACATCGCACTTTGAAAAATTCACATTTTGGGGGGTTCTAAATAGTAAATTTGCGGCCTGCGGTGCACTTCATATCTGAGTCAAATAGAACCGTCAAATACTGTGGTTACATCGCACTTTGAAAAATTCAAATTTCTTTGGTGCTTAAAAGTAAATTTGGGGAGTGCACTTCATATCTGAGAGTCAAACAGAACGGTCAAATACTGTGGTTACATCGCACTTTGAAAAATTCTAATTTTTTTGGTGCTAAATAGTACATTTGCTGCCTGCGTTGCACCTCATATCTGAGAGTCAAATAGAACCGTCAAATACTGTGGTTACATCGCACTTTGAAAAATTCAAATTTTTTGGGTGCTAAAGAGTACATTTGCGGCCTGCGATGCACTTCATATCTGAGTCAAATAGAACCGTCAAATACTGTGGTTACATCGCACTTTGAAAAATTCAAATTTTTGGGGGTTCTAAATAGTACATTTGCGGCCTGCTGTGCACTTCATATCTGAGTCAAATAGAACCGTCAAATACTGTGGTTACATCGCACTTTGAAAAATTCAAATTTTTGGGGGTTCTAAATAGTACATTTGCGGCCTGCTGTGCACTTCATATCTGAGTCAAATAGAACCGTCAAATACTGTGGTTACATCGCACTTTGAAAAATTCAAATTTTTGGGGGTTCTAAATAGTACATTTGCGGCCTGCTGTGCACTTCATATCTGAGTCAAATAGAACCGTCAAATACTGTGGTTACATCGCACTTTGAAAAATTCAAATTTTTGGGGGTTCTAAATAGTACATTTGCAGCCTGCGGTGCACTTCATATCTGAGTCAAATAGAACCGTCAAATACTGTGGTTACATCGCACTTTGAAAAATTCAAATTTTTGGGGTGCTAAATAGTACATTTGCGGCCTGCGGTGCACTTCATATCTGAGAGTCCAAAAAACCCGTCAAATACTGTGGTCACATCACACTTTGAAAAATTCAAATTTAAACCATCTGTTAGTTTGGTGGGTGAACGCAAAGAATGAGGAGAGCATCAAATAAGGGACGTGACCCTGGTCGTGGTGCTGCTGGTGTTGGTGGAGCTCCTGTTGCAGGGAGAGGACGTGATCGATCTGTGCCAGCTACACGCACAAGTGAAACACCTTCCTCAGGTGCGAGTTAGCGACAGAACCTTCAACGTTATTTGGTAGGCCCGAATGCCGCTCTACGAATGGTGAGGCCAGAACAAGTACAGGCGATAGTAGATTGGATGGCTGATAGTGCCTCCAGTTCCTTCACATTGTCTCCCACCCGGTTCCCTGCTGAAAGCTCAGATTTGGCACCTGCAGCCTATGGCCATCTGTCTTTCACTTCAGCCCCTTGCAAATCAGCCAAGCAGACTGAGCCACAAGTCATGCAGCAGTCTCTTATGCTTTTTGATGACTCTGCTGGCGGGGTTTTCCGTGGGCTATCCACCTAGCCCTGCCCCAAAAGTGGAAGAGATTGAGTGCACTGAGGCAAAAGCACTTATGTTTCAGGATGTGGACATGTGAGGACCACCGCAGCACGTCTCTGATGATGACGAAACACAGGTGCCAACTGCTGTGGCTTTCTGCAGTGTGCAGACCGTCAAGGAGGGCAGGGTTGAGGAGTGGATGGAAGATGATGTGGAGGATGATGAGGTCCTAGACCCCACATGGAATCAAGGCGGTGGTCGCACAGAGGCACCAGCACAGCATAAGGCGGAGCAGGGTGCAAAACCGAAGCGGCCGTTCCCTAGACAGTACGCCTGCTACTGCCCACTGCACCCAGGGACCGAGCACACCAAAGCCAGCTCCAAGGAGTTCCCTGACGTGGCAGTTCTTCAGACAATGTGCTGACGACAAGACACGAGTGGTTTGCACGCTGTGCAATCAGAGCCTGAAGTGAGGCATAAACGTTCTAAACCTGAGCACAACCTGCATGACCAGGCATCTACATGCAAAGCATGAGCTGCAGTGGAGTAAGCACCTCAAAAAAACAAGAAAGGTCTCAGGCTCCTCCTGCTTCCTCTTCTGCTGCTGTCTCGGCCTCTTCCTCCACCTCTGGAGTGACCGTGGCACCTGCCACCCCGTAAACAGAGGATGTGACAGCAACGCCACCACGTCTGCCACCGTCCCCAAGCATCTCCACACTGTTCCATGGAAGCGTTCAGCTGTCCATCTTCCAAACACTGGAGAGAAAAAGAAAGTACCCCCCTACCCACCCGCGATCCCTGGCCCTGAATGCCAGCCTTTCAAAATTCCTGTCCTTTGAAATGCTGTCATTCAGTCTGGTGGAGATGGACAGTTTTAAAAACCTGATGGCGGTGGCTGTCCCACAGTACGTGGTTCCCAGCCGCCACTACTTTTCCAGTCGAGCCATACCTTCCCCGCACAACCTATTGGCGGACAAAATCAGGTGTGCACTGCGCAACGCCATCTGTGGCAAGGTCCACATAACCACTGATATGTGGGCCAGTAAGAACGGGCAGGGACGCTTTATCTCCCTAACTGCACACTGGGCAAATGAAGTGGCGTCTGGGCCTTAGGCAGATAGCAGTTTGGCGCATGTCCTTCCGCCACCGAGAATTGCAGAGTATTTCTCTTTGCCTCCTGTTGCCTCCTCCTCCTACTCCGCTTCCCCCTCCTCTACCACCTCCTCATCCGGTCAGCGTAACACCTTCACCACCAACTTCAGAACAGCCAGGAGGAAACGACAGCAGGCTGTTTTAAAACTCATATGTTTGGGGGAAAAACCCCACACTGGGCAGGAGCTGTGGATAGGCATGGAACAACAGATCGATGAGTGGTTGTTGCCACTGAGCCTCAAGCCTGGCCTGGTGGTGTGCGATAATGGGCAAAATCTCATAGCAGCTCTGGGCCTAGCCGGTTTGATGCACATCCCTTGTCTGGCGCATGTGCTGAATTTGGTGGTGCAGAAATTCCTGAAAAACTACCCAGATATATCAGAGCTGCTGCAGAAAGTGCGGGCCATCTCATATGGGATGTGACCACAAGGTGGAACTCCACCTTGCACATGCTGTAGAGACTGTGCGAGCAGCAGCAGGCGATAGTGGAGTTTCAGCTGCAGCACGCATGGGTCAGTCGCTCTGCACCAGACTTGCCCTCCAATAGATCCTCGTTAATGGATTTAAAGTGTACTCATTCCAATTACAGGGCCTCGAAAGAGTCCTGTATTGTTATTTTTTGTCACTACCTCCCCGAGTCGGGAGTGGGTAATTTGCGCGCCTGCTGCCTTCCGTTTCTCAGGCTCCCTCTCCGGAATCGAACCCTGATTCCCCATTACCCATGGTCACCATGGTAGGCACAGAAAGTACCATTAAAGTTTATAGGGCAGACATCCGAATGCGTCGTCGCCGACGTGCGATCGGCCCAAGATTATCTAGAGTCACCAAAGTGCCTGTGCAACGACTGCCGAGTTGCTCACATTCTAACTTGTGCTGATTACTGGGTGGCCATCCTGCTGGATCTCCCTTACAAGGAAAATGTGCTGTCCTTAATTCCCTCACTGGAGCGTGATCGGAAGATGCGCGAGTACAAGCGCACGCTGGTAGATGCGCTGCTGAGGGCATTTCCAACTGACACCAGGGGCTCAGTGGAAGCACAAGACGAAGGCAGAGGAGGAGGAAGAGGTCGCCAACGCAGCTGGGGCACCACCAGCACCTCAGAAGGCAGGGTTAGCATGGCCGAAATGTGGAAAAGCTTTTGACAGCATGCCACAACAACCAGCACCACCAGCTGATATGGAACGTCTTAGCAGTAGGCAGCATTTCAGCAACATGGTGGAACAGTACGTGTGCACACGCCTACACGTACTGACTGATGGGTCTGCCCCATTCAACTTCTGGGTCTCCAAATTGGGCACATGGCCTGAGCTTTCCCTTTATGCCTTGGAGGTGCTGGCCTGCCCTGCAGCCAGTGTATTGTCTGAACGTGTGTTTAGCACAGCAGGGGGTGTTATTACAGACAAGCGCAGCCGCCTGTCCACAGCCAATGTGGACAAGCCTATGTTTATTAAAATGAACCAGGCATGGATCCCACCAGACTTGTCTGTACCTTGTGCAGAATAGACATTTATACTGGCCTCCCCAAGCCATTGTTATACTCAAGGGCACTTATTCTTTGTTTTCATTTTTTATATGTCCCAATATTTTGGGGGCTAATCCAATTAAAAAAAAAAGTTATTTCCCTATCCACATTTGTTTGCAGGGCACTCGTCCTACTCTTACCCCCATTTTACTTCCTTTTGCAGCCCTCTAGCCCTTTAAAAGGACTTTTTTAGAGACATTTTAGTACCCAAAAGTTCGAGTCCCCATTGACTTCAATGGGGTTCGGGGTCAAGTTCGAGTCCGAACTCAAACTTCTTGCCGAAGTTCGGCCGAACCCGGCGAACCCGAGCATCCAGGTGTCCGCTCATCTCGATTGAAGACACATGCAGATTCCTTTTTTGAATCAATTAAAAAACCAAAACATAATGATTGATAAATATTCCTCTTCATGTAAAGGTTCATCTGAAATGTTGGATTTCTTTATGGAACCTTTAGAAAGGATTTCCACTTGAGGAACCATCTCATCCATTAATTAAAATAATGAACCCATTTCAGAATTGGTAGTTACAGGAACTTCTATGCAGATGTTCTCGTGTCAGCTACAGATAACACATTTTTTATTGCTGTAGATTCAGGATTTAAAGTGTCTTTTTTTTTTTTTTTACAAAACAAAAGTGATTCTCTATGTTTCCCCTGAGTCCAAAGTAGAAGATCCATTTCAAAGGAAGAATAGATAAGCTCTTTCAATACTATAATAAAGGATATCCATAGCCTGATTTACAGTGAATTGTATCTTATTTGTTTGGATAATTATAAAGAATTTTAATTTAGTACTCAGTTCATTGGATGCACAAAATAGGGCTAGTGGGATTATGCCTGTGACTTGATTTTTTTGAGTTAGATTATTCTTTTTTTTTATATACATTTGAGCATGTTTTGTAGTAAAGAGGTTACTTTGCATTTAGGGACATTTTACTAGCTTGATGATAATACGTTGGAGGCTTTATATAGGAAAACATTCTTATATTAGTTGTGTTTTAAGTGGAAGTTATTGGAACTGTTTACAAACATTTAGTAATACTATCTTACTGCCCCTGCCTCCCCAATATTACAATAAGCATCATTAGGTTTGAGTATATAACAGTTCTAATTACTGTTTCTGATAGGTGTGTGAGGTCTGATTTAGCTTTAGGTTAATTAAATTGACAGATTTTAACAATGAATCCTTTTACAATGAATACAGTTGTTTTTTTCAGTATTATAATTAATAATGTAATAATTGTATAACACCATGAAACACGTTAAGATAGAAATTGTGTGTATGGAGGGGTGTGTATATTCTATTTAGTCCTTGAGCAAGGTTACACTTAGAATTCTCATTCTGTGTATTTGTTCTAGGTAAATTCAGTAACAGAGATAACAAGCAATAATACGTTGAGTTAATCAATTTAATGTATTATAATTACGTTCATTTGATCATTTTATTGAAGAGATTAAAGATATTTAATTATTAAATAAGCAATATATATATATTGACATGCTTCCCCCCCCCCCCCCCCCAAAATGTGGGCCTCCTTGTGCCTTCTTAAATTGTTATTTCTTGCATAATGACTACACGTGACTGCCTGGCTGACTCTTGGCTGGCTGGGTTTGGGCTGGTTGACTCACAGCTGATTGGCTGTTGGCAGGCTGAGTTTGGGCTGGTTGACTCACAGCGGGTTGGCTCACAGCTGGCTGAGTTTCAGTTGGTTGACTTACAGCTGGCTGGCTCACAGCTGGTTGGCCTGTGGCCGGCTGAGTTTGGGCAGGTTGACTCGCAGTTGGTTGGCTCACAGCTGGTTGGCTCACAGCTGGCTGAGTTTCGGTTGGTTGACTCACAGCTGGTTGACCTGTGGCTGACTGAGTTTGGACAGGTTTACTCACAGTTGGTTGGCTCACAGCTGGTTGGCTCACAGCTGGCTGAGTTTCGGTTGGTTGACTCACAGCTGGTTGGCCTGTGGCCGGCTGAGTTTGGGCAGGTTGACTCGCAGTTGGTTTGCTCACAGCTGGTTGGCTAACAGCTGGCTGAGTTTGGGCTGGCTGACTCACAGCTGGTTGATTCTTAGCTGGCTGGGATGCAGTTGGCTGAGGTACCACAGGTGCCACTTGGTCTACTATTGACAAACACACATGGACATATTTTAAATTTATAAAAATACAAAAATTATTTCCAAAATATATCATATATAAATAAATATAATTTAAATAACACATTTTTATACGTGCATTTTATATTATATCATAATTGTTATATTTGTTTCTATGATCTTTATTGTTTATCTTTGTGGAACATCTTAGTGCGGATATATTACTAGCAAATTCACATCAATGCAGCCATATTAATTCAGATTTACTAGTCAAAGTAGTCACATTATGAGTGACCTGTATTATTTAACTGATGTGTACTTGTAAACATATCAGGGTATAGTCTCCATTTTACATTAATTGTCTGGAAGTACTGATTTACCTCCACTCCTGCACATGTTCTTGAACTTTGCTCTCCACGCTGGAGTTTTTTGAAATGCATTGTACAGATAAGGGATTGAAATACATGCACAAACTACCAAACTCAAATAATAAAAGATAACAAGTCATTCACATTTATCTGCATACCACGCTTTCCAAAAACTGTAAGTCTGCGTTGCCAAGACAACAAAATAATCAGCCGTTTAGGAAGATGCTAATTCGTTAATGCTTTCCCCTGGGCCTTTTTATAGTTAAAATTTATATATATTTATATATTTTTTTCCACTTTCAATTTTTATTTGATTTTAAACAAGAATATTCATATGTACAAATTCCCGAATAGAATTATCCTTAATGTGCATAGTAGTACATCAAAAACAAAGATCAAAAAGTTGTAATCCTATTATTAGGTGCATATTTAATTTTGTATAAAAGTATTGCACGTGCGTTATAAATTGGTGAACATTTAAATCAATACATTAACATAAAAGTCACTAAAACAATTACGAAAACATTAAAAAAAAACATAAGAACACAAGACACCTGTGGAAGGTAGCAAAAAAGATAAACCAATACTCAGGAGCCATATCCTAGCATTATATAAGAGGAATATTAGTAGTAAGCTATCCAAGATTCTTCTGGCATTTTCAGGTGCTAACATTATCCCATTACTGAAGTTGTTTTTCTTGTTTTGTGATCTAAATGATGATCTTTATTGATCCTAATTAAAAGCACTAATTCAAAGAACGTAAAAGCCCCCTGTCAAGCTATATAGAGACCTTGAGTCTATTATACGGCTTGCATTGCATTAAATATTCCAACGACCATAGCCAAATTTGTTTATAGCTGACAAGGCATTTATGCAACTAAATGACTTTGTTGTGATGTCTAAATTCAAATGCATAAAGCCAGCTGTCCAATGGGAATTCACGTTTCAAGTCCAGTAATTAGTATGGAACTACAAAGTATCTCCATCTGAAAACAATATGGTGGGCCATAAACAAAAATCGTAGCCATAGCTATGACAGTGGCAAACCTTCAGAACAAAGGGAGATTGCAAAATTTAAGGGACATACTTTGACATCTTTGCTCAAAAACCAAGATACATTAAAAACTCGAAAGACATACAGGTTTCTTTTAAGATGCAACTGTATCAGGTATGAAAAAACATTTAATGCAAGCCATTTTTCTATTTATTTATTTTTCATAGTGAATAACTTACCTTGTGGTGTACTGCTATCCTTCTTTGTGTCCTCTTGATGGCGCTTCTCATAATAACTGACATCTTTTGGTTGATCATTCTGTTGACTTTGACCACCTATGGCTCCAGACATGACTTTGAACTGGCCTGTTCAAATCCAAATTGAGTAACAATAAATGAATGTTTGACTTTTCTCCACAACGCAGCCTCTTTTATACTCACTAATGGATACGAGATGTCAGATTATGTCATTATATTATGCATATATTTGGGATAATTTTTTCAAGATTGACAACATTGTTTCACATCCCTTTTGACAGATGTTCCACCCTCAAACCCCCTTCAATTGCTTCACCATTTCATGATTCACCATGACCTTTGTGTCCCTTACATTGTTCTCCAAGATATTTGAAGAATATAACATTGTGGGATTTTGGGAGGACTCAGCATCTCCCCAATCAATAAGGTGAGGTCAGTTAGATCATAAAGCAAAACACATTTGCACTTTACTGTATGTCACTATTATTTGGTAATTATACTATTTCAAAGTAATTTATTCAGCAATATATTTGTTTTACTACTAATAATAATGAAATTAAAATTGTATATAATTTTTTTATCACTATGCAATGTAAGTGTTAATTATCAATGTGAATTTCTCTTTTTTGAGATAACCTAAGAAAATGAATTTTGCCTCCAAGAAGAGGTTCATTATTTAATTTCTCTGTCACAAAAAAAT